GGATAACAGTCGGGGAAAGATATAAAATAGAATAAAGCTCCTTCTTCGTATGCTATATATACAAGATGAGGTTGTTGTTGGTAGTACGCATAAAAATCAGCAAAAGTGCCGAGAAAAGGGAAATACAAAAAAGTCCACAGTACGCTCAGAAATGCCCCAGAAATATTTATTCCAATTATAATATTGTAAAGGCAGGATGCTTCAGCAAAAGAAGGAGATGAAAAGAAAGTGAAAAAAAAAAAAAAAAAAAAAAAAAAAAAAAGAGAGAGAGAGAGAGAAAGGATAAAAAAGAGAATTAAAATGCATCCACTATTTGGTATGAACGGTAAGAATTAAGAGAATAAACGAAAGGGTGTTCGAGGGGCCTCCCAAACCAAAAGAAAAGGAAGCAAAGCACAAACAAAAATTAAAATTAAAAAGATAAAACAACAAAAAGGTTTGTTATGACTTCATTGTTTGCCGAGCCGTAAATAGAGATATTGGGTGGACGGATGCTTAAAAAAGGAAAGTTTAGTTTCATAACGAGTTTAAAGGAGATATGGAAGAGAATAAGCTCAAGGCCACCATCCGAGTCGTTTGAAGCTTTCGACAACAGGCTGGATCCAATCTTCGCCAAGCGTCGGTCTTTCATACATGAAGCCGGTCGTCTGCTCGAACAATGATCCGTCAATCAAGAGGTCGCCATCCTTAATAGAATCACGTTCTAGGAATGGACTTATCGGCCCTGGCCTTTCGATTTGTTTCTCATTCAGGAGCTCCGCCCACACCTGCAGTCCCTCCTCGTTCATATCGTCGATAATCTCGTCCAGATTCATGTTTACGACTTGCGTCATCATCGTGCCGACGAAGTTGTACTCGATGCCAAAGGCCTTTTTCAGGCCCTGGGCTAGGTCATTTTTTGTAGTTTTGTTATGGTCTACAATGTTGAAAACTATGGGGTCACCACTTGCAATGGGACCCTTGCTCGCACGCCATTCCGCGGCTCTCCACATTGCGCGAGCTGCATCTTTGACATATACGGTGTTCATGGGTTGGCTTCCGGTTTTCAGGAAGGGGATGGGTTTACCCAGTTCCATATAGGCTCTCCCCATGCAGATGACAGTGCTCAATAGACCAGTGTCATACTCCCCATACACATGAGGGAACCTAAGAATGCAAAGATTCAAACCGGGGATCTTCCGCAGATCTTCCTCCGCTTGGTACTTCCATTTCGCGAAGGCAAACCAGGGTTTAATCTTAGCATCCTCCTTGGCGGGTTCGCGATCACTCTTGTACACCGTGGCTGTGGAGCATTCGATAAAGGCACCAATTCCTCGACGGGCGGCTTCCTTTCCCAGTGCAACGGAGAGGACATGACTCCGGAGACGGTAGACATCGTCTGGTTGGGACAACCGGGACTCCCCGCCACAGTTGATCACATAGTCAAACTGCGCACCGTTGGCACGGTCGAAAATCCGAGAAAAAGATTCTATTTTGCCCAAAAAAGGAATGGCGTTAGTGAGCTGGATTCCACTCAAAAAAGATAATACAATTAAAAGAAGGAACCGCAAGTCTATTATAAAAATGTTATAATATATATGGGTAACAACGACTTACGCTCACGACTTGCGTCGGCCTGGACAAACTTGTCCTGAGAGCAGGCAGCGCTGAACTCAGGTGTCAACCATGCCAGCTGAGGTAGCAGCTTATCAACGATGCGCACCTCTGAAGCAAGGTTGTTTTCGTGGATGTGAAGGGCAAGGAAGCGGCCAAGGAAGCCTATCCAATTGGTTTGCATTGAGTCAGTCAGTATTCCCCAGTTGATCCCGCCGCATTTTCGACGCAAGGTCTGGGGGAATTTGTAGGGTAGATCGTATCAAGCCCTCCCACGATCAAGATGGCAGGCTTATTAGCCTCTCCAGACATGGTGATTCAACAGGGGTGTCGTCGTTAAGAGGGAGAATTATAATAATCAGAATAGCAAACAGATCACGGGGCGATATCCGTTGAGTATTGAAAATAACACAGATGTAACCCTGGAAACAGTTGAAAAGTGTATGCTTTGCACCGTCAAAATACTGAGTTTCCCAGGAAGGTCTTTGGCTGTGGTCTGAGAGGGGTAAGGGTATTTAGTTAAAATGCGTGGGCCTAACGAGCTGGCTGTGTTTCTAGCCTGGACGGCACAGGGAGTGTTGGCGGTGTGGTAGTGAGAAGCCAGAACGCAGGGAGTGAGGATAGGATATTCTTGGCCAGTTCAGGTCCCGGATTTAACGAGGATAAAGAGATAGAGAGATAGAGATATAGAAGCAGAGACGGACCAGCCTTCTCAAGGCGACAGTGCCGCGGTGGCAGGGTTCTGGAAATTAAGTAAGGAAAGTCGGTCGAAGGTAGAAAGTGGAGAGGGGGTCAGTTACCGTGAGGGAGCGGAGCAGGCTGTGGGAGATGTGAAGACGGAGGAGAGGGAGGGAGGAGAGGAGAGAGGGAGATAGAAGAGAGAAGATGGAGAGTGAGATGTGAGTGAGATGTGAGTGAGATGGACAGGGAAGAGAGAGTGACAAAAGAGGGCCACAAAACATGAACCCTCGAGCGGCGGGCTAATTTAGGGACAGTAGTAGCAACGCTGAATCCCCAACACGCCGTAAGCATTGGAATCAATTGGAATCGAAGCTATTCTTACAATATTATGGACGAGGTCTCTGTCGGACAGACGGCTGTCAGACGCTGCAGAGACCCTTCCCAGGCATTTGCAAAGGTGTTGGTATTTTATTATTATATTTGTTTACTCCGGCTGAAACTGTGAAACAAGACACAATTAGACAATAAATAACAGCACACAAAGGAGCTGCAAGGAGAGACTATGAACAGAATATATGGCAACAGTTTTTCCTCACTTTTCTCTCATTATCTCTTTATCTTCCCTCTAATGACGCCGAGCTGCACTGTCGCGTAATTTTCCCTCGATGGTTTCAATGGAGCCACAGCAATGAACGGGAGAAAAAAGCAGCACCTTGAAAAGAGAAAACAAAAGGGCCATGTCATGTACCCAGTACTCTGCTGTACTGTCGTATTTATTCCATGCAGGCCTCAATTTTGCAGAGATCGCCCTATTTCTGTTTCTCAAACCTTCATGGCGGCAAGGTACCAGTGACTTCTGAAACACTCCACATCACACACACACCCCCCTCACCCCTTCAATTGACTTTTCTGTCTCCGTAAGATTCAGCTGGGGTTTCCCACGACCATCAAGCCTAGTTAACTACTTAATTACTCTTCTCATTAGCCAGTTCGTTATTGATCGATTATATCGGTCACGTCATCAACAACACAGCAAACTAACTAACTATCAATTTCTTGCCTCAACTCCGATGCTGCCCCTGGCATGTATGTATCCCAGTACAACAACAACACATCCTGCCGGAGTCTCGACTCGAAGCTGGTTGGACAAAACCCACCACTGCACACGCCCGCTAGCACAATGCTCGAACGGCAGTCTAATTCCATTTCCCAATTTCCTTGCAGCGCCTGCAGCGCGAAGAAGTTTCCTTGAGCCTTCTTCCCGGAAAAAGGAAAAAAGGAAAGAAAAACTTTAAAAGAAATCAACCCATGAATCAAGATCCTAGAAATGCATACAACAATATAATAATAATAGTCCTCTTCTTGAGTGCCATTTGTCTTCTTCTTCTTCTTCTTCTTCTTCTTCTTCTTCTTCTTCTTCTTCTTCTTCTTCTTCTTCTTCTACCTTCAGTTCATACAGTACATGTCTTGTGGGCTTTGCTTCCCTCCATCCAGCAGTTATACGCGAACATATGGAGCTGTTGGACGGTGAGAGAAAGATGCATACTTTTCCAAGTCACAGTTGCAGCTTGTTCCCGTAGTTAATATGCATGTCAGCACAAATTCTAACAAATTCTACCTCAATGCTTCTTAACCTGCATCTCAACCCGAGTTACGAAGTATCCACTCGTTCGCATTGCTTGCGCAGTTCCCTTGGCAATGTTGGCATGGCCCTCCTCAAATTTCAAGTGGGCCGTTATTGTCGATCAAGATGTCGTCCCCTAACCACGCCCTGTGAAAAAAAACCCTCGCTTGGTCTTCGGTCAATGTTAGCTGCAGCAGGTTAGAGCGGAGGAATGTTGTCCAGTAGCAGGATGGGTGGTTCGGGGATGTGGGGCTTAACTCGGCTCATGTTTGCCTCGAACTTGTTGCAACTTGACTTGACCTGTGAGCCAAGAACTTCCATTTAACTGATCCTTTTTTTTTTTTTTTTTTTGATCTTGATGAGAGAGGGTTGGTCAAATTAATTTTCATTTTTCCATAGCTTACAACTCTCCGCGACCTGCAATTTAGCTGGGAACTTCCCCAGAGAAGTGTAAATACTTCCATTGTTTGAGCGGAGCTGATGAGGATTACTTGCAGGAATACGGAGAAGCGTGTCCAGGGGATCCTAGGTACCATTCTTGTAATCCTGTATGCTCAACGTCAGATTGGCCGATGACCTAACCAAGAGAGATGGTAACTATACCTTCATCGCACATAATTTCATATACGCGAGGAATAGAAATGAAACTGCAAGAACGATTGCGAATGGAGAATTGACAATAAACAAAAGGGAACATTAAAACTAAACCCATAGATGTGCAGAGAAAAGAAAAATGTGGCGAAGGTTTGAGAGGAAATGATGCTGCAAGCCTTTCTTCACCCAGAAAGCCACCACCACCACCTCCTCCACCATCACAGCATTCTCCCCTGTGCTATTTTGAATTACGCATGAAACCTTTCTGACAATAGTTTAATGAGAATGTGAGTAAAGACACTAGAAACCCTCCTAACCTCCAGTGTGTCCAACCCCTTGCTTTCTTGATACTGCGTATATCCCGGCGAAAAAGCCTAACGGAGCACCACCCTCAATCGATGCCAGTCATCAGGAGCGATCCTCTTCAACCAGCAGTAGTCGCTGGCGCCACAAAAATATCACACCATGAGTCTAGAACCTTTCTCTCTCGCCTCCTCCTTGGGCCTTGCAAGGAATCGGTTAGGGGCACCTTTTTTTTTGTTTTTCCCCCTCGTCTTTCTTCTTTTGGCAAGGGTCTCCCTGATATCTCTCTACTTGTCGTTCCCGATACTGATTTGACTATTCTCTCCGGTATACACTGACGCAGAGCCGATAGTAAGGAGCCAAGTCCAGAATATGAAGTACTAGTATCCATCTATAGCGTCCAGACGACCATTTCTCATTCAATTTACTTCTTATGGAA